CAGAGAGGGTAAGATGTCTGCTTCCAAAGCCTGTTCTTGCAGCTTCTTTAGGATGATGAGCCTAGAGAAAAAAGAGCTCTAACATTATTTTCCATAAACCAGCCCTTAATAGTACTACACCATTAAATCATTACTCAGACATGCTTCCCAATTGCTGTTATTAATGTGTGAGGCCAAATATAGTTGCATCTCTAACATGGTAGCATGGTGCCATTAATTTACAAGATGCCAGAATAGAGTAGTGATACATAAAGCTGAAATTCCAATTAGAAACACATACCCTGATTTCTGAATACCCCTACAATGATCGTGACATTTATTTACAATAAACCAGCCTATCTTCAAGAAAGACAGAGATGTTTATTTTATAAACCCTATTTATAAGATGCTGCTTTTTATGTCCAATATAAAACACAGCGGGAGTATTTTTGTTGATACAATAGGATGGTTCGCTTCTTTTCTACCATAGTGAAATCTTTCCTATGAAAATAGAGTAGACATGACAATTTTAGAACCATTGTGAAGCAGAAGGGAAGGGTGAATGGTGAAAGAGGCACTACTTATTTAATTAATGAGGTTTCCTGTAACACTTGTCAGCCTTGTATCCCAGCAATTCTCATGCAAAAATAACTTTCTGCCCTGCTACTAGTGAGACCCAGGAACATTTCTTATTTCAGTTTCACAAAGACATAATCTGAGGAGAGTGGGGCTTGGATGACACTACGAACACATTAGGCAGCGGGAAACAGGATCAAGATGCTCTGTCTGTGAGTTCAGTGTCTGAATCCCCCAAACATCCCTCTGGTTTGTGAAGAACTGCAGTCTGTGGGAAGGACTTACATCAGAGAAGTTTGTGAGGACTGTCTCCTGTGGAACAGACCCCATGCTGGAAAAGGGTAGGAGTGTGAGGAGTCCTCCCTGAGGAGGAAGGAGCAGCAGAAACAACATGGGATGAACTGACAGCAACCCCCATTCCCCATCACCCTGTGCTGCTGGAGGGGAGGAGGTAGAGAAGTCAGGAGGAAAGTTAAGCCTGGGAAGAAGGGAGAGGTGGGGGGAATGTGTTTTTAAGATTTAGTATTATTTCTCATTATCCTACTCTGATTCGATTGGTAACAAATTAAACCGATTCTTTCCAAGTTGAGTCTGTTTTGCCTGTGAGCCCTCCCTGTCCTTGTCTCAACCCATGAGATTTCACCTTTTTTTCTTCTGATTCTCCTCCCCATCCCACCAGGGGTGGCAGGGCAGTGGGCAAGCAGCAGTGTGGTGGTTCTTGCCAGCTGAGTCTAAACCACAACAATGGGTTACTTTGAATGTACCTTGCAGGAGTCTACTGAAGCAGTGAGTTGAAGATTGTGCAATTGTTCAGTAGTATTAGGGAGAATCCAAGACATCTGCAGGAAAATAATGCAAAAGTTTAGAAAGTCCAAGCCTTCTTTTATCTGGGTACGGACCTCTAACCTTTTTGTATTGTTTCAGTCCTTTAAATTGTCAGAAGAAGACTTGAGTAGGGTTGAAGATCTTGCCTGAGGAAACTAAGTTTGTCATGAAGCAGGAAAAGAGAAGCTGCTATTTTACTCCAGAGGAGCTCTTCTCCATCTTCAGGCTGGTGGCAACCAGCCATTTTTCTTTAGGCGGGTGCTGGTTCTCCTCCAGCTCATGCTGGAGGAAAAAAGACAATGTATCTTCTTTCTAAAGGAGAAGTCCCTTTTGTTACCTGGTGGCAACAGGAGAGAGGAGAGCCACTATCAAATAAATCATACATAAGATATTTCATAATCCCACAAAAACATTAGAGACTCCTAACATTCAGCATTGGCATCCTGCTTTTAGAGCTCAAAGAGCTACTCAGACATTAGCTAATTACATTTGGCACAATCACCTAATCTCACATATAGGCAGACACATTAGGTCACACACTCAGCTGGTATAAAGTTCTGATTTCTGCAGCATGGCTCATGTACTCCAGCTGAGAACAAACCCCTTTGTTTCCATTTCTTACATAAGGAAAATTCACAACCTTCTATCTGCATTTCCATATAGTGAGGAATGACCAAGATGAAGGTTTCACCTTGTGAAACCACAGTTCAACAAGGAGCTCCCAGGCTGCTAAATTAATATTTATTTTTGTTTGCATGTAATGTCAGCTGTTACAACAGGGTAACACAACAACACTGACAATGAAACTTGACTCGGATCATGGTGAAATGATGCCGAAAGAACATCAGATTTCGGACTTCTCAAAACCCATGGAAGGCTACAAGGAAGTTAAAAGAAATGGAAGAATACAGTGAACAGTGTAGTTGAGGTCTCACAGGTCAGAATGAGACCTCACCCTGCTCATGTGGCAGAAGCACTGCCACCAATTTCACTGCGCACTAGATCAGTCCTACTGAGCTTTGGAGGGAAGCTTGCCTCTGGATTTTGAGATGAAGGAAAAGAAAAGTATGGACAAGGAAAAATATGGCTTCACTACCTTTACAAATGCTAGCTTATCACTGCCACATATAGAACGAAAAAAGTGGGAGCACAACAGAACTTCAAGAGCTTCATTTTTTGATGGCTGTAAGTCAAAGAAATCTGTATTCATGGCTCTTTTCCTTGAAAATGAGGAAAGGGACAAAGTAAGTCCATTACTGAGCAACATATTACACATCAGCAGTCATGGTACTCACCTGGACCCTAAGCTGGCATTGTTTCCCCTTACTGTGGCTGAAGGATCAACAGCATTTCTCCCAGTAGGTCCTCCAAAAGCTTTGCCAGGCAGGTAAGCAGCTCATTAAGATAATCAGTTTAGAAGGTCACTGGGTCACATCACCCAGCAACTGTGATGCAGCATGAAATACATGGTTAAGCCCAGACAGGTTCACAAAGGTCATGTATTTATCACTGCCTGTGAGTTCAGCAGTGTCTTACTCAGCAGAGTAATGGCAAACGTACACTAAGGTAATTGGGGAAAAACATATCTTCAGGTAAAAACCTGGGAAATGCATCTAAGGATGCTTGATTTTTCAATACTGATTTTAATAAGGCAAGAATTAATCCATAATCACTGAACAACTACAGAATAAACTCCATGCAAAAATAAAACATCCAAATCACAAAAAAGAATTGTCTTAAAGCTTACAACTACCCTGTGCTTCTGATATTTTACGATAAAGGAGAGATAAAATGAAGAGCAAACAGAGACAATGCTATTTAGATATGGAAATTGGTATATCCGTACTGAGTAGATGCTTGTTATACTGCAGGTATTGTTAGAGGAATGTCTGAAGAAATTACTTGATCTGTGATAGAAACTCAGTCTTCATCCTACATGATTAGATTAGATTGAAATTTGTTGGTGAATCCCAGACATCTTATAGGGAGGAACAACAGTATTTAGCTTTTATTTTCTAATGGCTGCTACAGCCAGCAGAGCACTTAGAGTGACAAACTTCAGTGGTGCAAGAGTGGTCAGTGGGACTTCCTAAAATTAACTCCTCTTCCCTAGTCTTCCTTGAGGCATATCTCAACAGGCAGTAAGTTGTAGCTGGAAAACCATCTCATCAGGCCGCTTGATTAAAAAGTGGAGGACTGCGCACTGAGGGGGGCTACTCTTGTCTGAAACCACTTGCTGAAATCCTCTTCTGGCATCTGCACAATACTTTCACGTACAAACTGAAACAGAAGAACGTTCTTTCTTGAGCTTTTGATTTATGTGTAAGAAGAGAGATAACACGTGAAAATATGGCCATTGTGACAACAGAACAAATGTAATGGCTTCTGCAAACAGTTAGTATAGTGCTTTATATCACCAAAACATTTTTAATGCAACTTACTGAACAGCTGGATATGCTCTAAAATTAATGAAAAAGAAAACCCTATAATATTCATTGCAATTTATATCCTGAATCCTTCCAAGTCAAGTTTGTATTTTAAACTTGCAGCTGTCTTCTACCTGCCATTGCAGTACATACATTAAATCAACTTGAAGTTAAATAACTTCATCTGGAATCTCTGTCAGTATCAGCTAGGTCATATTCAGTGACTCTCTTCTCGCTCCTAAAATGTGACAGTTTAGTTTCTCTCTTCTGGTCAGCAGGAGCACCAAGGTCCTCCTACCTCTATTGCTATTTTTGAAAGACATAAATAAGTAGATAGGAGATTCAACTACTTGTTCTTCTCTATTACTATTGCACTAACATGAGGGATCAAAATGCAAAGGGAAAAGAACGGAAACAGCAAAGAAATAGATCTAAAAAGAACAGCAAGCAGAGACATATTGAACATGAAGGCAAGGCTGTCTCTCTGGTTAGTGACTATGCAAATTAGGGTATGAGATAAAATGGTTATTTTTGTAAGACATCAAGAAAATACAGCTAGTCTGATCTTGACATCCTGGGTGCTACATCTTTGCCTTTGGAAGGCATGATAAGACTTGATATATTTAAGATACACAGTACCCTGCTGCCTCTCAGAGATTTCTGTTGGTCTTGTAGATTAGGGGAAGTAACTGTGATGAGAACAAAAAACACAAGGTGGCATCATTGCCATTTTTTGTAAGTTAGTTACCCAGTTAGACTACATAGCAGTATAAATTCTAAATGCATTCTCCTGCCTTTCATGTGTCCTTCCTCTTCTGCCAATTGCTTCTTGAACTACAAGAGTTGAGCTCAAGATCATGAGAAGCAGATTTTTTTTTTTTAAATGCTGCTGAAGCAAAACAAAGATATCTGCAGAGTTCTTGGATAAATGATGTAATACATTACTTGAGTAGCTCATGGATGATGAGCTACAATGACATAATGATGCTGAGTAATCATCCAATGCTTATCATAATGTCTTTCTTCTGAAGAGTTCAAAGTGCCTTGCAAAAGGTGAATAGTAGCATCTTCATTTAATGAGATCCTAAATGATTTCACCTGCTAACTCTCCACTGCATGAATTTCACCCACAGGTGCCTGCTCTCCTCACCCTCACCACACAGTGAATCAAGAACTGGACTCACCTCCACAGCTGCAGCAATTTCTGGAGAACACAGTTCCCACACCTGTAGATCAGCCAGAACCTTAAGAAAGGTGTCTGGATGAATTTTCAAGTCAGAAGCCTTGCCATATTTTTCCAGTTTCTTTAATATTTTCTGGACATAATGGTCACTCTTCACAGACTCTGGGAGTCTGGCAAGCAATACAGGAAACCTTTATCAGAAAGAAGAACAGTAATAAAAGAGAAAGCCTGGGAAAAAAATGCATATCTGATTAATAACTCTCGGTTTGCCTGGCATTTTTGCCACTTTACTACCTCCACAGCTTCCACAGGAAAAATGGCTCTTTGGGGAATGCAATACTCAGCGTAATTCCAAGTGAATAATGTGAAGAAGCTTTACTTTATTGGACTTGTGCACCAATTCCCTTTGTGGGGCATTGAAATAGATGCTTCTTCATTGTTCATTTAAATTTTGGATGACAAACCTGGGTATGAAAGCAAATAATAAAGTCCTAACAAATGTTTCCATTTTACTACAGATTTGTCCACTTCATATTTTCTCTATTTATTTTTGTTTAGCCTCTACGGATTTTCCAGTGCAATCAGTGCCTGATCTGACACACTTTCTGATTTTCTTTACTATCTCTTGCCCCTGTGCTATCATCATTCTCCTCTATGTGCCGACATAAATCTTACTGATATAAGTACACTGTAACACAGTCTTTACCATTTTATTCTGAATATAGAGATTCAAAAGGAGAATTACACATTACAATAAATATAAAACTCTTCCAAAAAGACTTTTTTTTAAAATGTTCTGTGTAAACCCTGCAGTGCTGCTTTGACAGTCTTGGAGAACCTTTTTAGACTATGCATGACTGGGGTGTGCTGTGGCTTTCATTGCAAAGGGCTAAGGATTTAGCAGCACATTAGTAGGAAGTGCTGCCTCCCTCCAGTTTAGGATCCATGTTACTGGGACAGCAGGAGAGGGGGAAGGAATTTCCTCCTTAAACTAGTAAAAAAAGGAAACCCTTAGGTTCTTATCTTCAGTAGGGCCAGTTCTACACCCAGCAGTACACTGCTAGTATGGGTATGGCTATATAGCCAACTCCTTATTATCACTGGCTGGATTACCCAGGTTACCCTAATCACGTCTCACACAGGCCTTTTATAACTCATCCATGCATTAAGATACTTTATGAGAAAGGAAGCTGTGTTCAGTGGACTCTTATATTGCACTGTTCATATATTATTTTTGTTTTTTCTCGCTTCATGAGAGAGATAAGACAACTAGACTGACAGCATACACTGGTAAAGTGTTCCTACTGCAATTCAGTGTTCTTGGCAAGGCAGTGTTTGCAGGAGTATGGGAAAAAACAGCCCTATGGTAAATGAAACAAGTGGTACGGTGAAAGCCATTTCTGTGTCATGACTGTGTGTCTCCACGAGGGGGATGACCAGCTGTGAAAGATGTCACGCTTCACACCCCTCATGAATAGCCCTTTGCAGAACACACCTGGCACAGAAAGCTGTACTCATCTAACTGTGCTGGCATAGTCAAAGCAAAATAGCCTCCTCACTATGGAAGCACGATTTTCATATGAAGGAAAAGCGGACTTATACTATTCTTGCATAAGGGGGAAAAGTAAAAGAAACATATTGGTAGAGGGTCCTTTATACTCAAAGCTTCATCCAAATTAAGGCTTCTTCTAGCACAAATATAAGTATAAAAACAAAACTACATCCAACTCCAGTGTCAGGGCTTATTTACATGCCAGATCTTAAATTTTGGGGACAGCTGGAGCATACGTTTGACAATTAAAACCAGAGTTCCGCTAGACAGTCCAAGACTAGGTTTATTCATTAATGCATGACTGATGTGTTCCTGGGCCACCTGCATTTTTGACCTGAGATTAGAAATGGACTTTTCATTATCTCAAATTATGAAAGACAGAAGGTTTACTAGCAAGTAGAGAAAAAGAGGGCAGGCTGAAAAAAACCCAAGCATACTCTGTAATCCCATGCCCAGGAAGTTCTCACGAACAGGGCAGTAGGGAACACGGTGTGAGCTTGCTGAGGTATTCTGATAGGCTGTTTCTGGTGTGATCTCAAAGGTGATCAGTGGATAGAGCTAACATCCTTTCAAACAGAAAACACCAGTAATTTGCAGAATTGCTGTACTGGGAGGCATTTAGGTGATTACTCTACTTGCCCTGGTAAGTGTGGCAGTATTATCCATGTGTGGTTCAAAAACATCGTCAGGGAAATATTTTTCTGTTTAACATAGATCGACAGCTAGAGTCAAAATCAGTTTTTAGTACTGTGAATGTTCAGTTCAGTAAGAAGTTGTGAATCTAATCCATGTACATTTATACAATAACTCTCATCTTCAGGGTACAGTGTGTTTTACATACTTCCTGACAGAAGTCGTCTCCTATAAAGCTGCACACCGAGGAGGGTGTGTGAATGCAAGGACTGAGTGCTCTTGCCCGATATCACTGAAAGGAACTCTTCTTTATCCTCTCTTTCTTACAATGTGCAATTAATTTATTTGCTGAGCAGGCCAAGATCTGCTCCTAGAGATTTTCTCTCTATTTTTGTTGCTAACAGCTTGAAAAGCCTGCATTTCCAGAAACTGATTCGGTGGTTTCCAGTGATACTTTGCTTTGGGGGAGAAAAAGAAAGGAAAAAAAATCTTTTTGTACTAAAGACAGAACTCTGAGACCCTGACCATCTAATCTGAACTAAGGGTTTCTGTGCCTCCTTACCAGTTTAGTCCAGTTTCAACATGTTCTCTTTCAGCTCTCACATCCAGCTGTTCTATTCTTTCCATGTCTCTTCTAAAATGTGTCAATTGTTTCAAAGCCTGGTATTTTTGACGACATCGCTCTTCCTGCATCCTACAAAAAACCTTGAAAGTTAAAGCTGTGTTTTAAACGTTGCCATACTTCTGCACAGTTAAGTGAGAAGGTATTAAGCAAGGCATAAAATGATGAATACACATATGTTCAGTCTGTGGACACTAATAACAATTTTTGCTTTTGCAGTATTCTGTGTATGTTCATATTTCTACAAACATTAAAAAGTGTTTGTTTTATATCAACTCTAGGCTTCAGAATCAAAACATTTAAATTGAAATTCAACCTCCACTTTCTATCAGGTATCCACTGCTTAAAAGCAAACAGAATACTGCACAGTGATTTTAGGGTAAAATACAATTTAAAAATACAACAGAAGAGAGGTGGCATAGAGTGGCCTGAGCTAGAATTTTGACCCAGAGATTGGGTTCACATATGCATTCCTACAAAAAAGTACTACTGTGTTATAACAAAAATAAACATCTGCTTTTCTTTCCAATAAATTACTTATACTATATCCTGACAAGCTGAGGTTTCATCTCCAAATGCTGATCAAACAGAATATGCCTGTGTGGCGGTACAGAGAACAGTAAAATAGCTGCAAGTAGTTAAGTTTCCATCTGACTTGTCCTTTCAGACTGCAGGATGCTGGAATGATTACTTCTTTATGCAGTCACAACAGCTGCTCAGGGAAGAAACCAAGGACCCAGCTCCAGATAAGGAAAGCTCTGGGGACAAAAATCTAAGTACGAAGTGGAACAGAAGAATGGAAGTAAGAAGGAAGTGAGGGGGAAAGAAAACTGTGCCTGGAACACCCTTCAGAAAAACAATGTAGAGAAGGATCTCAGGTCTGATGCTTACTGAGACAAAAGAATTTGCACAAACATCATAGATGAATGTTTCTGGGGGAAAGGAAAAGGATGACAGGCTTTGGCTGGTCAACAAGGTAGAAATGTCACTCATCTGGAAAAATGCCTCAAGAGAGGACATTGCAACTGTTACCATGACAAGAGTCAAAGTAATGTTGAAGAACAATACAGTGATCTCTAAACTGAAAACACAACAGACATGCAGATTTTATGTTGCCTGAATTTATTATTCTGCCTTTGGGTCAAAAGTACTATGATGTCCAAAGTAAATATATCCAATGGTTTTAGCAAAACTATTGCCAGAAAAGCCATTCAGAAATATCCAAAACACTGCTGTAAATATCTAACCTGTAATACATCTATTGTACACAGGCAGTCACAAAGCTTTTATCATCTCTATATTCTTATTTTAATGCCATTCCATACAAATGCATTTTTAAAAGGCCTGAAGACAAGTTCTAAATCTGGTCAGAGCAAGGTGTGTAGTGTTGTAAAAACATACAGAAAACAGTCTTTTCCTACCTCTCAAGGCTCTCTAGGGTATCATGTAAACAAGCAGCTGCTTCTTCACGTACCGCTGTGAACTTTGGCCTCATATTGGCACACAAGTTAGATTTGCTTTTAATGAAAGAGCTGATACGGCAGCTATGACTAAAACGACACAGAAAACTGGAATTAACACCTTGTAACCATTTTGTGGTAAGCACCTGTGTTGCTCAAAACATACAGTGACAGAAGCCCATGTAAATTTTGAGATCTCCTTATTCTCAGTAGAAATACAAATTTAATATAATTTAGAGGTTTTTTAATTCATCAAATTTATGAAAGAATTTGACAAATAAAAAAACCTGTAAATTAAATTTGGATTTTTACCATCTTTCACTCCAGTCACATGCTTCCAGGAAAGTGCCTTCACATTGCATTGAAACGTACTAAACTGCTGCAAGGTTTCACTGGCCTGCTCTGGTCTCATGCAATAAAATGCTGTCTGACATTTGCCTGCCAAATGCTTTCCACATAGAGCACTGAGTTTATCAGCATATAATGTGCTTCAAAAACAGATCTGTACCCTCACCTCTGCCTTCTGGACCTCTGCTTCCTTGATATTATACTTTCTTGTTCCTTACTGAATGGCAAGTTTACTCTGTAATTCTTCTCAGCCACTGGCAATGAACTGTAAGACACAACAAGGTGTAAGATAGTGTACAGCACTCATTCTCCAGAATATGAAAAATAACATGCTAATATAACATTCTTAATATTACAGACTTACTGGAGCTATCCAGGTACAAAATTTATTTCTCTTGACCTCAACTCAAGGGAAAAATGCTTCAGCAAAGTCTAACTGTAAGAATGGTTTGTCATGTTGATCTGATAGCTGTAGAAACCACCACAGAACTGAGTCATGAGGGAACACATCTAACATAAGCTTAGCTGGAAATGTTATAGAGAGATTACAGAAAAATGCAATGGTAGCAACAAAAAAAAAAATCTACAAGAATGAGATAGAACATCACTTTTTCTACAAAGGTGCTGCAGCATAAGATCTATTCTGTTTGCAAAGGAAAGATTCATGGGGTATTTTCCAGCAAATACATACTGCTTGTACAGCAGTAAAATGAGTTATTCTGCCATCCATGCCAAAGAATGTAAATGTTATCTGCATTCACTGAACGCTGAATTCAGTTGAAAGGAAAAGCATAAGCTCTGTCCTGATCAGCTGCTTCTCCTAATCATTCAGAAACCCATCAGGTAACGTACCGCTTCAGTCCAGTCTTCTTAACCATATCTTCTTGTTTATGGACATCTTTCAACACCTCTTCATGTGTTTTCTGGGTGACTTTCTGTAGGGCTGTTTAAAAAAGTTCTGTGAAAACATGCCAACTAAATCGTGCATTCCTTTCTTCCTTGCAGAGAGGATGCCATGTATGCTGGCCTAAATGAGACATCCTAAAGAAACCTGCTATCTAATATTTCTAAAAATTAAAGTTTCTTCAAAAAGAGCATCTTTTTAAAAGAGGTTTTAAGATAGGTACCCAAATAGGAATGCACCCTATTCATTAATTGGTTTTGAAAACATAAGCTTTGTTCTTTCACCTGTGGAAAAAAAAAAATCAAGTCGAAGATACTAAATATTTTTCACATTAGATGCTTACAAAAATAGTGTATTAGAAAAACAGGCAGATTTGAACAAACTATGCAGAAAGTCTATTTTCAGTTCCTGTACTGTGCTGTTAGCATTCTACTGGCATAACTGTCAAAACTTCTGAATTTCTAAGTCTACCCTATCACTTTGCCATTCTGCTTTTATATGTCATATGGAATTTAATATATTTAACATCAACAGGTATCTAATTACCTCTCTGTCTCCTCGTCAGCATCCACTAAAACTTAAGATACTACCTCAAGCAGCCCTTCACTGGCTATAGTTTCCAGATTATCCACCTTTGAGCAGATCTCTCTCACTAATAACACTCTTTACTCTTTCTGCTTTCCACTGTAATGTGAATGCTTATATTCTCCTCTCCCTTTAATACCTGGAAAGCCAATTTAACTCACTGTTTTCCTTAAAATTGACACCGTTGTTTTCCTTCCCACTGCTGTTTCATTCCTGTGTTGATACCAAGCCCCTGAAGAGACACTGAGATGGCCATCTTCCCTGCATTATTCCTTCCAATCACTCATGCAGTAAAACAACTGTCACACTTGTTATTAAAAATCCCAGTGTTAGCTGTCAAATTCTAAGTCATCCTCTGAGGTGCTCAATACATCCTACATGGTGATAAGTGACATTTTCCTGACCACTCAACACCTTGAAGTTGTAATCCTCAAATTCAAAAGGTCCTTTCCTACATTTCTGGGAAGCACCACCATACATGATAATAGAAAATCACTACTGTGATAATTCTACTGATATAGAATTGTTATTCTATAATAACTGTGTTAATTCAGGTCAAAGGAAGGCGGTTCATCTGTGCTCAGTGCCATGGACAGCAGCAGCTGTGTAGGTAGTATACGATATTAGCACAAGGTTCCCGTTATATCCACTCAGCTTCTAGCAGTCTGAATCTAAAGGTCTTTCAGAACCAGAGAACGTGTCCGTTACTTTATATTTAAGAGCAATTAATTGTTTTTTCTTCTTTTCATTTAATTATTTTTGGGCTTGAATATACTTCCAGCAATATATTGTAGCAATGCATTCCTAAATTTAAGCACACATTGCATGAAAACACTTCCCATTGCTTTAAATTTTCTGCCAGACAATTTAATCTGATATCCCATAAATCTAGTGTCAAGGGAACTTGTGAATAACCACTCTCTAATCACTTTTTTCCATGGACTGTGTGATGTTAGAGGTCTGTCATAACCTTGCATTCAGCCATTTCTTTTCTGCCCTAAAGAGCCCCAGTCTATTTAATTGTTTCTCATACAGAATCTCTTCTGTATCTCTATCATACCCAAACACTTTTCTTTCCATCAAGCTTTACTACTTCTGATACCAGCCCATCTGAATTGGAAGGACCAGAACTGAAGCAGCACATACAAAACATCTGTAATTTTGCATAACATGTTTTCTCCTTTGTCTTCCACTTCATTCTTAGGGTTCTTTTTGCCTTTTTGATAGCTCCTCAACATTCAGAGAACTATCCCAAATGACTCCAAGAGCTCCTTCCCGAGTGATAACTTAGAGACCAGCAGAGCACGATGTCAGCCTAATAATGATAATATGAGTATCAAAAGATAATTAGCAGTACTAAATGCTAACATGCTTTTCTGGTCCAGCTTTACTTAGAAGGAAGGGAAAAGACTGAAGATTATGTAGCTTTGTGCTGAAACACATTGCAGACCTAACAGATAAACTATTCTGTCAAGTCTACCAAGCTCAGGTAATCACTGATAGGAGGAATACAAAGTAAGAAAAACCTAAGTTAAACAGAATCCCTTAAGTTAGACAGATTCAGTGGATCAGGTGGTTATGGCAGAGAACAGTTTCACTGTTTTCACCTCCTGTTAGACCTTACAGATGTGGATGACAGTCTGATTATACAACTACTGTAACAGTATCAACTGAAACTCTCATCCAATGTTCACATGGGCTTATATTGTCTTTAAACCGATTTGCTAATGGGGAGGGCACAGAGAGATTTGTACAAAGTTCTGCATCCCTGAAGAGATACACTAGTACATCTAGCCGTGTCTTTGACATAGGTTCTCCCTCCCAACACTGAAAAGAAATCCATTTGATATTGGCAGTCAAGAAAAGTAACTTACAAGGGAAAAGAGGTTGCTGTTCTTTAGCTTGTGCTAACTCACTCGGAACATCAGACGAAACTACATTAATCTTGACGCTATCTTCAGAGCAAAGTGCAGTGGAATTTACGCTGCCATGAGGGGATGGACCACGGTGAGGTGACTGACTGCTAAGCTGAGAGATGACTGCGGTAAATGTCTTGTTTATTTTCCTGCTAAGGTATCGTGCTTTCCAGGTGCGTTTCTGTAGATAGAAGAAAAAATTAATAGAAAGGAGGCTATAGCTATAGCTATTTGACAACAAAGAATCATACTTCTTTATAATAATTCCAGTATTAGATCCTTCTGGTCCTCCTATAACCTCATTTCTCCAGTGACTTCAAACAAGTTAGTGATTTCTTGGGTAGAACCTCTTTAATTTTGTTAATCTTTCTTCAGTACTCCTCTGCTATAGCATTAATGCAAACCGATTAAGCTGATTTGTACATGAGTAATACTGCAGCTGCAGAGAGGGTTGGCAATAGAGCAACCTTCTCACGTACAGGGAAGAACAGGTCAAAGTGGTTTGATAAACGTTCAGGTCTCCTTCCAAAACCTGTCATTTATGTGGCTTGCTGACCTTCCCTCTCTGTTTGCTAACAGCCGGAAGAATATTTGCAAAAAAACACAGTTTTTGCCATTTAAAAGTTTCACAACTTTTGCTGCTTATTCCCCAACAGAAATTTTAATAATTAAAATGATTCAATAGAAGATTATGTCATGAGGGTACGAGCGGTAGGTATTGACAAATAACAAGAGCACATAGCTTGCATGTAACAACTTTTTTCTAATAGCTCCTCACCTGAGGTTCTAAAACCACTTTATAAAACTTGTTTAATTTAGCCCCATAGGGGGCAAAACAAGGAATGAAAAGCTTAAGCAAACTGCTGAAGATCAAAATGTAAGATGTGCTACAGAATGAGAAACCCACTGGCTCTTTATTGAGTTCTCCTAATTATGGTCCTAAGTATCACTCATTCCCCCTTCCATTTTTCCTCCAGTCACTTCAGTAGTTTCAAAGAAAAGCCTTTCTGTGGTTTCAGAAAGATAGTAAAACAGTTACCAAGTATTACAGATAATTTTCTAGTGCTTAATTTCCTCTCAGGTATTAATGTTATTTTTCTTTTAAAAGGCGTTCATCTGAATTGCTTGTTTTCTCCTTTTCTTGGTTTTGCTTTGAATGTGGCGAGTGAATCCTGCTTTCTTTAAAGGCCTCAATATTTGGAATTTGTTTCTGAATTTAGCTTTAAATCTGTGTTAAAAGGCAACCAAGCAAATCATGACTAGAATTTACTAGAATAAGGCCTCCAGGATACCAGCCTGAAATCCCCATTTGACTGAAAAAGACACACTTGTGGGAACAAGTACTGCTACGTGTCTCTGGGCCATAAAAAGAGGGCAAATGTAAACAACGCTATTTATGTTTTATCTGAATATTGAATTCTTCCCACATCAGTACTTATCACTAAGACCAAGCCACAGTTTCAAATCAGCTATGTAGTTCTCTTCCTATTACCTAGTATCAAATTGTTATTCTTCAAACCCTAGAGAGATAAGTACCCTACAGTCACAAGATCCAGAGCATAAAATGTGGTATCGGGGAGTTTAATTAAGCAACAGAACAAACAATTGAAAAGTTGGGTTAGGTCTCAAGGAAGAAATTAACGATGATATTACCTTTGTGTTTGTAATAAAGGCCTCCCACATGTATGTTGCTAACTTTTTATCTTCATTTTCTTTTACTGTGTTTTTACAACCACCAGGGTCCCTAAGTGAAAACAATTTAATTAGTTTTCCATTTTGAGTGACTTGCTTTTTAATAAGGTCTTTTAAGAAATGCAATAAATGGAGAGTAAATGGTGGCTGACCACTACTATGATGTATATCTTTGCTTATAAGAAAGGGAAAGACAATGCAAGGTGTATAAGCCACGAGTACATTAAAGTCACAAGTGAAGAAGAACAAAGAAAGGACAGTCATTCTACACACTATCAGGCGTGTACGGGCCCAAATTATGCTCACAACTTCATCTGTGCAAGTACTGAAAAATTTTGTCCAGTATAGCAAGATTTCATGGATACAAATGACAGCAGGTTCATACAAGTCTGATTTTTCTGCTCACTGTTTTACAAAACACTCATGAATAATTTAAACACATGTGATGCCCACCTGGTAATATTGACTAAAAATGTTGGAAAGTTAAATTAATATTTACTTTTAACAGTATAAAAGTTCAGAAGCAATGCATCTTTCACAACTAGCCATCACTGTCATATGTAATTGACAGAATGAAACCAGCTACTAAATATCACTTAACAGACAGCTTTGTTCTTTAATTATAATGTGTATGGAATTTCTGTTGAGTTCACAGGGCAAACCCTTCAAGGGAAGGCTATGGGAATATACACACATATATTACTACATGTATTGAATTTGCATAATTATTAACCAAAAGAGAAAAAGGAAATAAAACACAACTAAATTTGGCTGGGATAACTCAGTATTTTCTCCTAGTTCTGCAACTTGCAATTACAGAGGACCAAGATGGGCTACTGATTTGACTGTACAACTCCCTGCTAACTGCATTGGGGCAAAATTAGTTTATGTTGCATGACACAGAATTAATAACAGTTCACTCAAATAGTTATTACTTGAAGAGAAACAACAACATAAAGGACAAAAGATCCCAAACTCCTCATTCCATCTACTATCATGCATCATGCACATACATTAGATTCCAACAAGTTAATATGGAATTCATCGAACTGTTGGATTCAAGAGTCAAAGCTTCCAAAAGCCAGTGTATGGCACACAGCTGTCGGAAAAGATGTTCACTGCAAAGAAGAGAAACAAATGTGTTATACTATAGAGTCAGGGAAACAGTCAAACTGGCATCATGTTGGCTGAAATAGCATCTAAGCACTTCTGTAGCAGACTGTTTTTTTCACTATCCCAGTGAATTCTAGATATCTCTCAAGGCTTCTGTAACATTAATACCTAACTCTGAATCCTGAAAGCATATTTTTGGATGCGAAATTTTCAATGGACATATCTTGGTGACGTGCTCAGTGCTTTCATACCTATGAGGATTCCAGCATTTATCCTTTTATGGTATGGATTCTTACAGGTTTTGGATTCTACAGCAGCTTCTAAGTCTTGCATTTAAGAAAAAGCAGTGTGTGAGTTAAAAATGTTGGATCCATCTTTTTCTGAACTAAGATTACCTTTGGCATTTTAGCTTATTCAACGTGCAAATGTAAATAGATAAAGACACTTTTAGTGAACAATTGGGTTAATGAACTTAGAACAGTGACAGCATATGAGTGACTAATACAAAATATATAGAAGCTTACACGGTACACATACTATTTTCTCCCTCTCTCTTTTGTAGGTCTACTTTTTTAACTAGGCAAATTAAATTTTCATTTTGATAGTTTCCTTAAAATGAGGCTAATCTTGAAAGCTGTATCACATAGCAAATTTTAAGTTGTGTAAAATTTGCTGAGTAAAGATCAGCAAGGCAAATGAGATGTGTTTGTGCACATGCAGACATAAAGAGTTTTCAGTAACTCATTAGGATTCAATCATTTAAAGTTAGAATTTAACTGTTGCTATTAGTGAAGACAGACTATTTCACCATAAATTCCTGAAATTCTCAGGATATGTGTTTACCAGTTGAACAGCAGCGCTAGACTTGGTCTGTGTTGCTGTGAATTTTGCTTATGTCCTGTCATGGAGGGCAGGACATAAATTTGCCTTCGATATACCTTTTTGTTCCAGGGGGGCTGGGAACCAAGACACTGGTATAAACAGGAACGAAAGGCTTTAAGGTCATCTTTTTTTTCTTCTTCCCTGACTTCCTTACGTGGTTGCCTCCTGCTAGAGAGCAACTGTGGGAAAGGACAGAGACTGAAGTTAAAACAGGAGTGTGTCAAATGAAGACACTGCCAATAAAACTGTTTACTGTGTTGACATCACCACACTCCCTCTTCTCCTCCTTATGTTAGAAAAAAATACTTGTGTATTTCTAAATTGTTAATTGCTGCATTTATTATCATTCATTAACACTACAAACCTGATATTTGTGTTTATCAGGATATATAATTATTATTTATTTCTAATATGTTTGTGGTACTTTATAAATTATAAACATGGTAATATTTGTATTTACATATTTATACTACTAATTATTATACTACTACTTATTAGAAATTAAGCATTTATGTGAAATAAAATTTGGGGGCAGATGAAAAAACATAACTGATTTGTTTGAGAAAAGATGCTGAGATACTGCTTACATTCCATTAAACTTCTTTTCTGTTGGCGTCATGCCAGTGGCATCAGTGGGATTATGTACACAAGGCCAAAGTTTCAAGATGTGCCTGTAAAATCCTGTTCCATTTTTCCTGGGTTAACTGTAATTTGTAGGTTAGTTGTAAGATTTCCTTAATAAATTTTTACAACTGGAAAAAACCCTGTTCCAGATGTAGGATTGAAGTGGCTTTGCCAGTATTCACCCACAAGCCTGGTATACTCTGCACCAGTAAAAACTTTTTTTACTGCTAGGAAAAGCCGTACTTAAATTAAGATAATTTTGCCAGCGCAGGTATGCCTTTGCAAATGAAAGAGGAATGTTAAATCTTTTCACATCAGCCTTCCGAAAGAAAGAAGCATTTCCTTACAGAAGAAAATAAACTACTTAATAATCTGAATGGTCACAATAACAAAGGCATTGCTATTTTTAATACGCATAATAATTTATTTATCTGCAATAAAGGTGGATTAGCTCAGTTATGGGTAGATAGAACAGTTACATATCAAAAGGATAATAAGCACAGAGTTTACAAAAAGCTTTCATGGAGGTTCTTACTTAATTTTTTAAAAAACTGAATAAACTTCTTTACCTAAAATGTTCATGTGGCCTTCATTAACCTAGGATCAAAGTGCTTCATAGTGCCATTTAAATAATACAGCCATAGGCGACTTAAGTTAGGAGAAAGTTTTAGATGATGCAGACCTTAGAGGCTCAGATTCCAAAATACTTTGACTAATACCGTACACCTTTTCTCCTTCCACAACACTATCTCTCAGTAATAATCCATTCCTTTCCCAGCTTTTCTAGCTATCAGTTAGTGACCATGTAAAGTGCTGGCTATTAAATGGTACTCTAGTATATATGACACTTGTCTGTTCAGAACCTCTCAGCCTGTCTGTGCTACTTGCTTGCTTTTTGGTCTGGTTTTCATACTAACAGGAAAGATTTTCTTTCTTATTTTTTAATAGTGGTTATATATTGCTGTCCCACTTTATGACTAGGGCACGATTGCATCTCAGATGACTCTGGAGCCTGAGTTTTCCAAGTTGAGAGTCAGCTCATGGAAGAAAGGTGAATGAGAGGAAGCTGGTACGTGGGAGTGACAAAAGCCACAACAAACTGATGAGAAAAGACGGTTAGAGACAGATGAGCTTCTGTTGCAATAAGGCTCCAAAGGTGCGTAACCTCTGGAAGAACTACTCTGTCCTGCTGAGCAAGTATTTAATAATCTCATCACCTAGTGAGGGCTGAACAAATGGAAGACAACTACAGCTTTACAAGAGGTGTTAGAGGTGCACCGAAAAGCACAGCGTGAGCCAAAGGACTGAAGACTGATCAAATGGAGAGAAAACCTGAAGAAGGTAGTAAGCAATAGGTCTGAACTAGCGAAGCAACCCACCCTGCAAGCTAAGCCACTTACTCCGCTGAACGTAATTCTTTTTTATTCTTAATGCCATGGTCCCATTGTGGGAACAGAAGCACGGCACAAACTCACCAGGTCTCCTCCTTTTCAGTTCTGAGTTGGCTGTGAAACGTCTCCTGAGTTCACTAAACTTCTGCCTTCTAGACTTCCTCCTTTTTAAACAGCACCTCAAGCATGTTTTTTCTATGCTTGCTAGGTTTACAGCTGCTCACTTACACAGATTTTAAGCATTTTTTTTTTTTAGTTCACACAAGGAATAATATTCTTCCTCAATACCAAGTAATGACACAAACTGGAAATTGTCGCTTTTTAAAACCACAGCCCTCAGACCACCAAAGGCCCTCTGAGTTGACTTACATGTTTATTTCGTCTGACTCCTCCACATCAGAGTACTCAGGTGGCTGTAACTCAGTTATCCATCTTGTGCCCTGAGCCTGCTGGGCTGCTTTTGGTGTGTTATTCCTCTTCAGTGATTCTTGGTGAAGTATATGAAAGTATTCTCCACCTCGCTTCACAGAATTGATATGATACCTGCTAAAAATCATCACAAATTGGTCAGGGTACTAAAGACACATTATCAAACTGATTAATTTCTCTGTTTCCTGCCAATTTAATTTTTAACAGTGATTTCACATTCTTCGATATTCAAGAGTTCAATGTTAATATTTCCTTCTGCAATATGACAACAATGAATAACAATTCCCCTGTATGATTAGGAAATCTTTCCCTTATCTCTTTCAGCACCACACATGTTAACTGTTGGATGTCTTGAACACAGCATCACTTTGTCCAGTACTTGATTTAAAAATTCCCTGTCTAATTCTAATTTATAGCAGCCAATTGACCACTGGGCCCCTCAGTGTCTTAACTCAGTTGTCACAGCATGACAGCCACTGCCCTGAAGCTACCCGTTAGCTGCTAAATTCCATTTGCTGTCAGAAGGCTGCATTGTTAGTAACAAGGAAGGTGCAAGTGAAGCTTGTGAGTGAGCTGAAGGCAAGAGCAGAGTACTACTGCAAGAGAAGAAAATAAAGAAACAACAATGCATTCATTGTAGGACAACAACAAGGTAAAAAAAAAAACCAAACCCAAATCAAACTTAACAAAACAGTGAGCTAGGGCAGTGAAAGGGATACGGCACACAACTACTCTACAGCCTTTGATTAAAATGTTAGCAAGGATGTAGCAAGCAATCCAAGTCAGACAAGCATACCATCTGGGCATAGGACACATCCCTTTAAATTAACCTCATTTGTTTTACTGACAAGTAATAACTCCCTTTTCCTACCATACATATTAAAGCACCTGAAGGTCACATTAGGTGCAAGTTTCAGGCACCAAATTCACTAGTTCTCAAGGATTCACTAGTTCTCAAGTTTACTCCCTCCTTGGTTCCCTGGATGGAAAACTACTTGCACAATTTAATGGTTTTAATGGTTTTTGGGATTGGGTGTTTGGTTTTGTTGGCATTTTTTTAAGTCCAGAAACTATAGATACAAGCCTGAAAACATTTACAGTTCAGGTAGATAACCTGTCTGCTAGATATTTCTGTATCAACTTTGGAAAAATAAAAGAAAACAAAAAAACAACAAACACGAGAAAAGGTCCCTGATAAGAAATATTGCATGTTTTAGAAAAACATAAGGATTTCAGAGTTGTGTCAGACTGGCTTAATGTTTTTCATAAGAAATTAGTATTCTACCTAAAAGACTTCTCCTGGAACACTAGAAAACGCTTAATGGCGTTGAATTCTTGCTTTATGTTCTTTTCCAGTAGTTTTCTCTCTCTCCTTTCTGCCAACTATCAAGATATTTTTATGTAAAAAATATTTTTCCCCCCTTCGTAGTGCTTCTTCTACATTTCTGCATGCACTAATGTAAGTATTCCTTCTTAAAGATCAAAGCCTCTGCTGTAGCTGTGTATTATAATGCCACAAATAGCGAGCAATTAGGTTATTATGTGAATCAAAGACAAGTGGTATAGAATTATAGACTAGAAAGTTAATTTACTCTAACAGCTATAACCAGTATTGTTGGGGAACGATGCTCAAATGGCAAGTTCAATCAGTACCTTTTTTTTTAAGGTTTATGTAATATAGAAAGCTTTAATATGTGTATTGCAAAATCAATGATCACCTTCATATACCTATAGGAATAGGAAACATTATGCACACTTGGGAATGAACATTTTTAGTCTATAACTTCCTTAAAACCCCAGGTATTACAAAAAGTAGCTCTACAGTCTCCAACTACGAAAGAAGAAATAAAAATCAAATTACTAGAAAGGCAGCATACAAAAAAAGCTGTAATAACTACCTGATTTAAACAAAAAAATCCTCTCACGATTCTGCAGAATTATTTCCGGAATATTTATGAAAGCCCTAAAGGTTCATGGACTCTTGACAGGAAAACAGTAAAATAAATCCAAACTTGAAATACAGAGGTGACCATTGTACTTTTCTAGACTGTAGATTTAGAGTATATTGCTGGAATAGGACATCAAATACTTCTCCATTTAAATTCTGGCATCACAATACCCTGTTTATACAGCAACTTAAATTTAGCTGGTCTGCCTATTTGACAAGCAGGTGAGAATTGTTCATTAAAATTCAAATGTAATCAAGATGAAATTTGGAATACATTTATTAAAGTAATTGAGCTTCAGTCAACTGTAGTCACAACACAGATTTTCAACTGCTGTTCAGACAAAAGGATTTGTCTTATTTTTCTAAATTATCTTTATCAGCATGAAAATTAAAAGAGGTTCCTGAGCAGTAATAATGTACCCTGGAATACTTCAAGTTTTCTCAACAGGAATGTATTATTATAGATAAGGGTCAATGACACTTGCAAAGGAGTGACCCAGTAGTGTATTACACATACAGAAGTGTATTTTTAGTGCTTGGGGTAACTACGTACTTATTAAATTACTCTTTAAATCCTTTAGGGACTCAGGGTCATCAGTTAATTGTAATACAAGGCCATCAGAGTATTGGGGAACTGAACTTTTACTGCTGAGATCTGAGAATTCTTGGTGCCTTTGAGTAAGAAATGACTCACAAAAAAGCAAATAATAAGTGTCTTAATCATAATTTAGGTGTTAGAAATACATTAAGAAGCTATAATAATAATAATAATGCCAGAAAACTGCATCAAGGTAAAGACAGGCTAGATATTTACCAGATTTTTTGACCTTCTGTTTAAATATACCTTAAGTACATTGGGTTATCTTCATTAAATTCAAAGAAATCATACTAAGGATGTATTTGTCCCAGATCAAATTTTACAGTTAACCACCCCTCATCTACTTTGTACATAAACAAATTCAGTGGGAGATGATTTACTGAAGAAATCACATGCACTCCTGAACATGTGATGCCAAATCCTTGCGCAGGTAAACTGGTATAACTCCAGCCTGAACAGAACTGCTAGAAAGACAGGCAGAAGACTGCACACCCACGTGGCTCTCCCTCTGCTAAGCACCTGTGTTCAGTGCAGTGGGAGCGTTATGAGGGTGCTTCAGTCTTACTAACTCTTCCTGCGAATCCTCCTCTGTCCCATTCCCTGAGGTGCAAAGAAGCTGCATTCACTTTATACCCGCTTCATTCTCTGTCCCTCCAAGGCTAAACATTATATTATGATCATGGTGAACAAAAATTGTGAGCTGTAAGTGTGCTGGTTTGGGCTGAGATAGGAGTTAATTTTCTTCCCAGTAGCTACTATGGGGCTATGTTTTGGATTTGCACTGAAAACAGTGTTGATAACACAGGAATGTTCTTGTTATTGCTGTGCAGTGTTTACACAGAGTCAAGGCCACTGAGAGCACAGGCTTTCTAAACACCATTTCCTTTATTTTCATAAAAGCATTTCAGTCTGCATCTGCAACAGCTCCCCACTAGACCAGTAAAAGCTCCCCTTTTGGGCACAAGGCCAGACCCTGCCATTGCAAGGCGAGCATCAGCTGAACACTGCCTAACTGCCTGTTACACTACTGACAAACTGAGCATGAGCTAAGGCTTCCCAAATGAAAAGCAAGGACAAGTTTATGCACACGACACTACTGACAAACTGAGCATGAGCTAAGACTTCCCAAATGAAAAGCAAGGGCAAGTTTATGCACACCTCCACTTAAAGGCATTCTTAGTAAGCATCTCCTATAGCAGAAACAGTAATTCAAACAGCAATCCATTTCTGTATAAAACGAGTCACAAGAGGCAATAACTTTGAAACTACAGTTAATACAGCTAAATTGCATTCTGAACATTACAGACTAAAACCATGGATTAAAACCAGTAGAATTCTTTTAAACAAACACTTAGCATTATTTGCAGCCATGTCATCATGAGCCATGATCCCATCACAAATGAAACCGGTGAGTATCTGGATCTTGAAGAGTTCAAAGAAATATCTACTGAAAGAAGCAGCGAGAACAGCAAGCTTGTTTCATTTGTATTCAACTTGAAACCTATGGCCTTACCTAGTTCCAGGTGGCACTGTGGTACTGGAGGGTGTGTCTTTTTGAACATATAATAAAATGGAAGTTCTGATAGCCTGAAGTTATTAAGGATCCTGTGGTAATCTCTGCAGGAGCACAAGCGTTAACACCTGCATTATCAGATTTCAACTGATTAAGGTTACTGTCCTCACTGCTGTTTCAGTTGGAATAGAACACTTTTTATCATTCCACTCCCCCAAAATACTAAGATGTGTGTATGTGCATTAACACCCAGCAGACTCCATTTGAGCTGTTGCTGCATTCCAATAGCTGCAGTAACACTTACATGTCCCTTAACTTTCTGACAAGGTGCTGTAACACCTAAATAGCTAATAACTCTAAAACAGCAGGAAATGCCAAGATAAAAGAAAATCCATATGCACACAGTGCTTTTCTTATTTACAAAACACACACAAAACAATTGGAGAGCAAACTCTGCATTTCTTGTAAATTGTCACCAGTAATACTGATCTATACCAGGGAGAATCTGTTTCTCTTATCAGTAAATATTGGAGCTGCTGACCATTTCACTCAGTACTTTAGTGCCTTACATCCAGCATTGTAATCTATGCCAGTACATCTCAAATTTACTTAACATTAGAGACAGCTTCACACCTTTCCCAAGTGATGTAAGGCAGTCTCATTGTAAATGAGAATTAGTGCATTGTTCACTTAAAATATAGTCAGTGATATCTTACTGGGTGCATACAGCACCCACCTTCCAAAATTACCAAAAGCCACAGAGCTGAGTTTACCTGGTGGTGAGCCTGAGCTAGCAAGTCCTACTATTGAGCTCCACATTTGGGTCATATCCTGAAAGCTCAGTATGTGGACAAGAAAAAGCTCGCAACTATTCAGAATTAATGTGTAGATACTAATGTAAACTAATGACAAATTCTGTTTTGATGGTGTTTATAGCCAAGTCAGAGATGTAAAGGTATACATATGAGGCAATGGAGAACCAGGAACATACTGGTTACTACTCCTATTTAATATTTGAGTAATTACACAGTAAGAACCAAATGGGTAAATATTCA